TGGGAAACCACCCGAAACCTCTGAAAGCAACTCGGAGGACAAACCCCTGGTAAGTGGACCCATTGTGCCCCTCATCAGAACCATAGAACTGTTTAGCCCAGGGATGCCAGAAAAGGTCTCATTAGGAGCCCTGATAGACTCAGGCTACATCCCCTGCCTCATAAGCCCAATCCTAGTGGGGAACTTAGGTATCCCAGTGAGGAGGCTGAAGAAACTGTTTTTATTTGGCCAGCTAAATGGGTCCATCGCAGGGGGAGTTCCAGCCACCCTTGCCACACAGCCCATCCAACTTACTATAAGGGATCACACAGAGACTCTAACTTTTGTGATGACTCCTGGAATGGAGTACCCGCTTATTTTAGGGATGATGTGATTAACAAAGTGGAACCCAAGAGTAGACTGGAGGATGGAAGAAGTGAGATTCCCGAAAGGAAAACATGGCATAAGGGGAGCGGTTCTGGCCCCAGAAAGGAACAGGTCCAGAAAGTGTAGCAATGGCAAATGATGGGGAAGTAAATGGCATACCTGAGGAATACCAGGATCTAGCTAAAATATTCAGCAAAGAAAGGTCTGATGAACTAACCCCCCCCCCCACTGACCAACAGACTGTGCCATTGAGATCTTACTGGGAGCAAAAATACCTAAGCCGAAAATGTATTCCATGACGCCTTGGGATTTGGAAGAGCTACAAAAATTCATAAACAAAAATTAGGCAAATGGTTTAATACAGACAGTGAAACCCAAAATGGCAGCCCCCATGCTATTCCATGAGAAAAAAGATGTGTCTCTTCGCCTCTGTGTAGATTATAGATCTCTGAATGCAGTGAGTGAGAATAACCTCTACCCATTCCCATTACTGTAGGACATGTTAGTGCACTTGGCAAAGGGGATTTTTTTTTTCAAAACTGGACTTACGCAAGGTGTATTACCAGGTTAGAATTAAGGAAGATGAGTAGAAGACAGTGTTCAATTGTCCCACGGGATGTTTCCAATTTAGAGTGCTTCCATTCGAGTTGCAAGCAACTGATAAATAAAGTGCTCCAGGATCACCTCTACAAAAGGGTGCTTGTCTACTTAGACAGCATCCTAATATTCACAGAGAGCAAAGAAGAGCATGTCAAACTGTTCAGAGCTGTGCTAAATAAGTTATGAGCTGCCTGACTTTATGCCAAATTGTCCAAATGTGAATTCTATAAGAAAAGAATTGATTACCTGGGGTACTACATATCTCCTACTCATATAAAGATGGATCCTGAAAAGGTCTGAGTGGTCTAGAATGGGCTCTGCCATGCATCTGGAAACAGTTATAAAGTTTTTGGGGATTTACTAACTTTTATCATCAATTCATCTCCTTTTTCACCCAGATCACACTGCCCATCCCAAATTTGTTAAAGACTCGAGGGAGGGGAAGCCAAAGCCCAGCCAGCCATTAAAATGGACTATGGAGTAACAAGCCACATTTGAGAAACTGAAAAGACTATTCTTGGCAGAACCAGTCTTGAAACAACCAGACACTGAAAAGCCTTTAGTCATCCAGGAAGATGCCAGTGATGTAGCAGAAGTTACAAACCTGTGCGTACACATTGAGGAAACGCACAGAAACTGAACAGAGATTGGCATTATAGGAGAAGGAAGCCTATTTGCTTTTTACATGACGGCATTTCCTGGAATGGAACAAAATCCCTTTCCAAGTATGGACTGATCATAAATACTTAGAGGCTCTAAAACACCTAGGAAACTATCCCCAAAACAAGCGAGGTGGTCCCAGCATTTCCATCACTTCAATTTCACCATTAGACACTTACCGAGGGGAAAGAACTTTCTAGCAGATGCTCTGTCATGGTTACCACAATAGAATAGTACAAAAACAGAGATAATAGACCCACTTATGCCATCAAGGCAAATAGCAGTGCCAGTAACTACGTGAGCGCAAACAAAAAATCCCAAACCCCTAGTAAACATGGCAGAGGTGGAATTCAGACAAGCCTTAGAAAAGGATAAGTGGTTCTTAAGCCATAAGAACTGTCATTTGAGTAGTGACAGACCAATTCTCCAAACAGGTGCATTTCATCCCATGACAAAAAATCCCCACAGCAAAGACATTAGCAAAGCTGTTTGTACAAAACATATTTACTGCTGCTTTACTGCTGCTGCTGCTGCTTCTGGAGGCAAGCTGTTCCACTGATTAATTGTTCTCACTGTCAGGAAGTTTCTCCTTAGTTCCAGGTTGCTTCTCTCCTTGATTAGTACCCATTGCTTCTTGTCCTGCCTTCAGGTGCTTTGGAAAATAGCTTAATTCCCTCTTCTTTATGGCAGCCCCTGAGATATTGGAATACTGCTATATACCGACTGCATGGAATCCCACAAAAGATCATCTCAGACAGGGGGGTGCAGTTTACATCTGAGTTCTGGAAGGCTTTCCTGGATCTTTTGGGCACCACTCAGGGGTTGTCATGTAGTCACCATCCACAAATGAATGGTGGGTCAGAACATTCAAACTCAGTACTGAAACAATATTTAAGATGTTTTATAAATTACCAGCAAGACAACTGGACCAGCCTGTTTCCCTTTGTAGAAGTTGTGTATAATAACACTGTTCACTCTAGTACCAGGTACATGCCATTCCAAGTCGCAACAGGGCAAAGCTTCTACTCAATGCCTGAACTGCAAACTAATGAACACACTATCCCCTCTCTGAAGAAATGGATCACATAACTCCCAAATACCTAGCCAGTTGTAAGAAAAGCCTTAGATGAGGCTAGGGAGGCTTACAAGACTCAGGCAGATAAAAAATGAGTAGAACCAAAGCCTTTCCAAGTAGGGGAGAAAGTATATCTCTCCATTAATTATTTAAAATATCTGCAACTGTCAAAGAAGTTAGGACAAAAATTTGTGAGTCCTTTTCCCATTAAGTGGATAATTAATCTGGTAACTGTAGAACTGGAACTTGCCACAACACTAACACAGATTCACTCTGTATTTCACTGTAGCCTATTGAAATGAGAATTAAGCATGCCATTAAGGCCAGCTGTAGGTCCTCCTCCTCCTCTGATCATGGTAGAAGGAGAGCAACATTTTGAAGTCAAATAAATCCTAGACTCTAGAAAATATCATGGTTCCACATAATACTTAATAGCTTGGAAAGACCTACCATCTTCCCAAAATCAGTGGGTCCATAAATGGCACATTAAGGGCTGTGAGAATACTTAATAAATTTCATGCTAAATAACCTAACAAACCAGACTAACCCATATGTGCTTTCTCTCCCTATTTTGTTTCTTCTACAGGTGGATCTCTCATTTTTAAGGGGGCAGTGGAATGTCAGAATCTGGTTGTTGGGAGGCTGTTATCTTTATTCTTGTGGGTTCTGCCATAATCCTGTGGGGAGGGGGAAACTATGGGTGCTACAATATATGTTCTCCGCTTTCGTCTATCTGCTTGCTCTTTAATTTATTTCCTTTGCTGCCGGCCTGGGGTGAGAATGGATTATCTCTAGCAGCAGAAGAAGAGACACAAAGACCTAACAGCCTAACAGCCTTAAGAACAGTGCCTTATCAAACCCATTCCCACAGTAGATTCACATCTGGGATTGGGCCATTTGAACTGGCTAGATTGACTATTGGGATGGGGTTTGACAGTTACTCTTTTAATCTATTGATTCACGTGGGAAACTCCTGCCTTCTATCCTGATGTCAACTTCTCCTTCATTTTGGAATGAAGCTGTTCCAGGAGTTCTGCTTTCTTGGAAAGAGGGATTGAGGCAGGTCCTTACACTGTATTTACTTCAAGATGAAAGAGAAATGACATTTCATGAGGCTCCGGTGACACATAGGAACTTAGACTGATTTAGTCTGTGCCTCTTCCTAGTTAGATAAGTTCAACTTTTTCAAATGACTATGCTGGTAAGAATGATAGCAGAGCTGTTCCAGAGCATCTGAAGACTACCACGTTGAGGAATGCTCAGCGATCTCCTGTATTTTCTAATCTCACTTCCAGTATCTGGCAATCTTTATGAATGATAGTGAGCTTGTTTGAAAGCAGCACTCAGTAAATATTGAATTTTGCTAGTCTATCGTCAACACAGGTGTTGTTTTTTCTGTAAATATCAAAACACTGTAGTTATTGCTTACACTTTTATATGAATCACTCCTGCAAAGCTTCCCAAAGTGCCTCTTTAACAAACTGCATAGTAGCAAGAGCACATGTCAAATGCTTAAGGCACACAAAGATTTGTTAAAAGAAAAAAGTATGTCTTTTGACATTTTTTTGAAAAAAAATTGACAACTATGTTGAAAATCATGTACCAAACTGTATCATTATGAGAAAATATTTATTATGGTAACTATAGTTTCATAAAATCTATATACACATTATGTGATTCTAAATGAGATATATTTACCTTAGAAGCATAGATAGGTATGTAAGCATTGTATTAAATGTAGTGGATATTTTCATGTAGCTCATAAGAAAATGATAATACTTACACTATTATGCATGTAACATAGTTAACATTACAGTATCCATGGCTGTTAAACCCTACAACCTTATGTTTGGTGACAGGTATCTTATTTCTCAACTTGAATGCTATATTAATTGGTATTCTGCCACTAATGTTTACTGAGTATTAAAGATATTTTCATGTACCTGTCATTACCAATAATGGCTTTTCTGGATTTATCTTCAAATACATATGGACAAAATCAATCGGATTCTGTAAAGTGCATATGTACCATACTGTGCATTACACATGAATACTTTTTACATTTTATATGGATGAATGAATCAAATTGAAAAGAGATTTGACTGATAATTAGTAATATATGGAATAGATTAATAAAAATATTAATAATCCATGCATTTTAAACAAGTTTTTATGGTAGGAAGTTTAATAAAAATAAGAGATAAAACAATACAATTCAAGTAATTCTCAACTAAGAGAAAAAGAAATCACAAAGCATTTCATTCATGCTTACCTGACACTTGGAATATCACTGAAACAGACTGAAATAGATACGTCTCTTGAAAGTGTCTATTCTGAATAAGTCGGGATTCAGTCCAAAGACTTTTGTCATACATATAAAATTTTTGCAATGCTAAAGCAGTGAGGGGTTTCACCATGAGGGAGCACTATTAAAAGCACACAAAGTGTATTGCAGCCTTGAAGCAATTAAATGCATTTTTAAGAGGCCATGAAAGAGAAAGAACAACCTCAGTAGAAATTATTGGATTCAAAAAAGACTTTATCACATAATTTCATGTTGTTCAATGGTTCTAAGACTGTTAAATCTCAATATTTGCAATAGTAACTTTTTCAAATGCAAGGCACATTCTTCCATGATAGCCTGTTCACAACTCTTCAGTTAAAAACAAGCATCTCAACTTTTGAAAAATTTTAGCAACCTCCTATGAGAATAATAAAATCTTAATACATTTAAGGGTATAGCACAATATCTCATGTCAAAATACAAAATCTAAGAACATTTTGAGAGTTTGTAAAATGTTGAGCATTATTTAATATACAAAACAATAGCAAAAATAATTTTTGTATCTCAGTATTTTGATCTGTTTTCCAGCCACAACTAATTTTAAATTTATTGTCTGCATTACAAGCTATCTGTACCATTTAGAGTTTAGAAAAATGGGTTTCAAAATTTATGAATAATTCCCAAAGATATAGAAGGCTGAAAACAGTCACTCCTTATTATGTATATGAAAACTAGGATAAAGGGAAAATTGAGTTACCATATTCTTCTTCTATTTCTTTAGAACCCTTAAGAATTGAAATGGGCTTAAGAGTTTTCCAAATCCAGTATCTCCACTGGGTCTCTTGTACACTTGTGAAAGTGGATACTTAGAAGGTTTATTATTCTAAGGTGATGTTTGGAAGTCTCTCAAGACTAGGTTGAGTTATCAGTCTTGAGGTTCCAGAAAACTGGCTAAATTTTAACATGACTCCCCTGTTGTGATTGATTTGGTTGATATTTATTATCTCTGTTTGTTATTTTGCTCTTACTTCTTCCATCAGAAGAATGAAAGCAGCATCAGGACATAAATTCCGTCTCGCGAGGACATGGGTAGAATAGAATAAGAGCTTGCATCAACTACAGAGGCTGCTGGATACAACGAATCCCTTGAGTGAATGATTTGCTTACTACATAAAGTGCCACAATAAATATGGTCTAACCACATATTAGTAGTCTTATGTCTAAGGTGAGCTAGTGATCTTACATTGATGAGATTTAAATAATTACACAAAGTCATGAACCTCTATGGATATTATTTGTGAATTTCAACCCCTGTTCTTCCAGTTTCTTAAAGATGCTTAATGTAATTAAGAGATTGGAAAAATGAAGCTTATCCAGAAAATGGGTTAATTATCCATTAATCTAATTCCTCATATACTTACTATATTGATTGAGGAAAGGACAAATGTGGATTATTAGGCATGTTATTTGCTTATTTGCAACTGTATCTGGTGTACTGGAGAATATTTAAAACTGACATTAAAAGATAAAATTACTAGCTAATTTTTGTATATTCTGTTTATAGATGTACGAATGTAGATGTAGGAATCAAATAATTATATTTATTGGAGACACAAGAGTGGGTAAGCATATAGGTTCAATCAGCGCTAGATAAATTCAGGATTTCTTCTGTATAATGTGAAACAGCTCATTATTTTAGAAAAAAGTTAGCAACATTTATTTAAATTCTACTCTTATTCCTACATCTTGGTGGAAATGTTTATAAATGTGATAACTATCTGAAAAGTAAACAACATAATTCTAAACATGCTTATGTGAAAGTTAATCCTCCTATCGATAATGGGATGTATTATCTGTTAAATATGTTTCTGAGGGAAGCTAAATGCAGAAAAATAAATGAATCTTTCATATTTCAGTCTTGAAATGAATTGGATCCACACTAATCTGGATTACTTCTATTTAAGAGTGACAACTAGTGAAGTGTTATTTATTTGTAAGTGGTAAGCAGTAAGGCTATAATAAATTTTTCTGTATTTTCCTCAGTAAAGGCCTGAAGAGGTATAAGAAATTAAATATCTCATCTGAAAACGAAGCAAGCAGGTTGAGGATCATATTGTATGAAAATCACATTTCTAATACTGTTACATTTCTCCCCCCCATCTACAGCATATTTATACTGTAAATTAGTGACTGCAATGCATGCAACAAAAATATGTTTTACCAGTTTATGTAAACATTAGCTTTCTTCATGCAAAATGCCTACAAACTGTGGCAACAAATTATTCTAATAGCATCATTTTACATTAGCTCTGTCACAGCAGTTATTCCTGCTTCCATGATTATTATGTAGAGAATATTTTTAAAACCCTTGAAAGATTTCCAGTCTACATCCCTGCTCATTTAATTTTTTAAAGTTTGAACTACTCTTTGCTGTAGTTCCTTGTTCTCTTAATGATGGAAGAGAAGAGGCCAGTTTTCGGAGAAGGCCCCATCAGAACCGGAGCTTGATTCTTGTGGGTAATTTTCATCTGGCAAAAAAGAAAACAGTTATAATTGTATCACCTGTTACAAGATAATTTTAAGCTTCCCTTTCCTAACTTTTAAACATGTTCCAATAGAACATAGGGCAAGTGAACCCAATTTTAAAAAGCTGATAATTGATTAGACCATTATTCAAATGAAAAATTAATATAATCATATACATTACATTAAAGTCACTCACTCATCCTCCTAGTGTCTATTTACATTTGTTTTAGAATATTTTATAGTCATAGTGTAATGAAATGTAAAAAAAAAAACAGACACATGTAAAACACATTAACAAGAGCATATAAAGTATACATTTTCAATAAAATAGGAAATATTTGGTAGACAAAAAGCATATTGGAATAAAAATAAGCCACGGTATTCTCTGCATATAATAGTCATCCCCCTAACTTGGTGGAATCTTATTTATCATATAACATTCTAATTATATAGGCAACTGCTCTCATCTATAGGATAAAACATTTATAGAATTCAATATACATTGGATCCAAGGAATTGTAAACACACAGAAAAAGTATGTGCTTGCAACTATACACATACTCAGAGTAGAGTGTTGGATATGAATCTCAATACAGTAATGAGTCGTTTCACATTTAACCTCCCCTTGATCAGGACATTTCTCTCCAGTGTGGTCTGTTGTATCCCTTGTTTTACAAAAAAAGGGATAGAAATGGTTCTAATCTGTTTTGCTCTTGCTGGATTAAGATAATAATGAATGTTGTATCCATTATGTATTAAAATTGGCACTCAATTATACCACTATTTCTTATTTATACTTCTGGGTTCATTGTGCTTAATATGAACTTCCATGCTTAATTTGAAAATAACCAGTAGAACTTAAAGTCAAAGTCTAGCATGTTAAAAAGGTCAAAAATGATTAAGTAGCATTCTAATTTGTTAATTAATTGGTAGTAAAATCAAATCAAATATGAAAAGCCTGTTTAAAACCCTATGAAAGATACTTCACAACTACCTATTTTGATTTTTTTGATATAAAACCAGAAATCACCTTAAATGAGACAACTCTCGTGTAGATTATGTCTCCAATTTTCTCTAATTCAAGTCTAAATTAGAGAAGACATTTTATGAATGTATGCTATGCTCAAAGCTAATTGAAAGCAATTATCAAAGTGGCATTTTGTCTGTGACTTTAAGATACATTGTGAGATAATAAATGATTCTCATTATGTAATAAAAAGGTCACATCTTGCCTTTGGGCCAGTGAGGCTTACAGTTTTTCAAAAGCTATTTGAGACATTTTCTTTAGTGAACTACTGCTAATACAAGAGCTATCACTTATTAAATATCAGTTGTCATCTACACAGCATCCCCATCACAGATAAGTATTTCTTTGAAAAAGAAACATCGACTCATTAAAACTGGCAAAAATATATCTCTTAAAGTGCATACCTGACATTTTCAAGCTAAAATGAATATTCTTCACTTGTCATTCACTAATAGCAATGAAACAAAAAAAGTACACTAAGAGGAGAGGCCCATTAAAACAGAGGAAATACTATTTCTTGGATTGAAAATTTGCAATCAAAGATGCACACACACACATACATACAACTTATTATTTCCCAAACTAACTTATATAGAACATACATGGATTTCTGTTTAATAGATGATTAATTTTATTTTCTCTTTTTTTCTAATCTTTAACTTGTTTTAATTCAACTGTAGCTCTTTAAGAAATATTCATGAAAAATTGTGTGGATGTTCCTATGCATTTATATATGCTTTTTGGGCAAATATATATATTTTACTTATGTATATGTTTTCTGTATATTGTTAAAAATATATATATCTTTTGTCTTACATCTGGGAAACTGCCATCCAACATTCTGAAAAGTAAACATTCAAAATGAACTATTCCAGTTCATAATCTGATATGGGGTATATAAACTTTTCAAGTTGAGTAGCACCTGAGGTTATGAAAAGGACTTACATGGAAAGCTATCTTTAATATATTTCTACAAAATTGTGATGAGAATTATTTGAAAGAAAAAACAAAATTAATCTTCCTCTGTCCAGTTAAAAAAATTGATAGGACTATGGTTAATAGTTCTTCCTATAAGCCTGGCAAGACAAACTTCATGTATTGAGAAAGACCTTAATATGAAAACTAATGTTTATGTGAATGTGTACCATTATTTTTGGTGTAGGTATATTTAGATGCTGAAAAGCTTTCCACCTACCTGTATATATTTTAAAGCATGAGTGAGCTCATTCATTAACTGCCTAATCTACAGAACATTATTAGATATGGAATGCCATATCTGTAGATTTCCTCTTATATTGTGGAATGAATTCTATATTCACAATTCAGTTATCCAAACCAGCATTGTACATTAACTATCAGTTTGCAAACATAATGCAAAACATAGCTTATATCCAAAGACTTCCACAATCTCCTTTCTTGGATGCTTGGAGGTTTTCACTTTTTTTTAATTCCTCTTCAAATTATAGATTATAGACCACAGCTTGTGGCTACATATGGGCCTTTTTTATGGCTTATAAACTGCCCAGAGTGTGGTAGTAAACATTTTTCCTATTTATTGATACTTTTGAAAGCTTGGGAGATTTTGAAGGACAAAAGCTTGTATTGGTTTATTTTAGCACTGTTAATGTTCATGCCCATCAGAAATGCATTTAAAAAGTCCTGTTTAAAAAGTGCAGGAAATAAATGTTTAAGAAATATTTGAAGTTTTTTAATAATGTAAGCAGGTACACACTTCTTTGGATTCTGCTTTTTATATCTGGTATTTTGGTAGCATTTAGAAAACATTATCAATAGAACAGTTTTAGTTTATTTAACAAACTATGGCTTAATATTATCAATGAAGCCAGCCATTAGATGTTTTTTACCAAATGACATCTGGATTGAGCAATGCAATGACAATGATAAGAAATAGTAAATGAAAAAATTCTGAGGCACTAAGACTATCATTAATGAGAGAATAACCTGTTTCCTTTCATTTGAGTACTAAACAAACTGGGTCACTGAAGGCCAACTCTCTTTTTTGCCTATCCTAAAGAGTCAGTTATTGCTGCCATTGGAAATACTATTGCTTTGGTTCATATGGAGAACAAATTGAAAGGAAAAACTTAAAAAAGCCTAACAGCCAACCAAGCAAACAAACAAAATTACAAGAAAAAGATGAGCTTGGAGGCCTATATAAAATGTTATCAAGGACATGACCCTGCTGGAGAAGTGTTCACTTTTTGAAGGTGAATTTTGAAGATTGTAAGGCTCATAACCTTAAAAGTACAGAGGAACAATAATTGAGGATTGATAATGCACAGGAGCCCATGAAAGCAATTCTTTTCAAATCATTAAACACAACCCCATCTTTCTCAGTTTTCAGAATTGTTCAAGAACTTTCTTTTTGTTGTCCATGCAGGCAATCTAGAAAAACATGGGGTGACTTTAGGGATTTGAAAAGACTAATTTCATATGCACACCTGCAACTCAGAACTATTAAATATAAAGCAAGTTTAGGGGGATTTGTAAAATTATTGTTATACCACCATTCCTGTCATTGTTTATATTCTATTGCTTATAAAAGAGATTCTCCTTGCCAGTGATCCACCACAGAATATCATTTAAAAAATTTTAAACAATTTCTTAGTAATATCACTGCACCAACTGAAATTAAATCCAATTAGTTTGGCATTAATTAAGCTTTAATAATGTAGTCTAGTATCACCCCTAAATAGTGTGATCCATTTTCCATTCACACAGGTAAATTGGAAAACATGGTGGTGTCATCATAATTTTTAAACATACTGAGAAAATGACAGAAAATTAAAATAAATGATTAATGACATTTTTTCATGTTTTATACTAATAGGTATTGCTGAGCCTTTAAATTAATAAAGCTGTCAAGCTCAGGGTTGTTACAGGATCCAGCACTGAACCAAAATGGAAATTATGTATTCCAGACACCTAAAGATGACACTTTGGAATATTTTAAATTTTAATTAGTAGGTGCAATTATTCTGGCCCCTCCCTCACCTTTAACTACTACAAATTAATTGGCAATTAGTCACAACTAATTCTTTTTTTTTAACAGTTTGAATTGAAAAGATAGGTGATTTCATCTCAATATAGTTGTCTAAGGTGCAGAAAGCACACATGCAGTAAATTGCATTGTCAATTATGCAAAAAGAAAAGAACCAAAAATAAAAATCGAAACTTGTAAAATAAAACAAAAAATGTGCATAGGTTGACAAAAAAAAGTGTATGCTGTTTAGTGAAGGGAACTCCAAAATAACACTCATCTAAACATCAGTGACAAAACTCAAATGTATGCAAATGAGTTATTCACTGCTAAATAACATTTGTGAGTTTAGATAGGAATCGTTTGAGCACAGCTGGATATATGTTCCAATGAGAGTCTTTCCTTCCTGGGAAGACAGTGTAGTCCTACTACATGGAGCACAAAGGAATAGGACATAGCTCTCCACAAAAAGCCCTGCTGGGTGCATTGGACCTGATGCATCAAACTATTATGCTTTTAATTAAAACAAAAGCTCTTTCAAATAGATGAATTTAACTAAACTTCATATAAGTGTTGTTCGAGTATTCTTGCTTATACCAAAGTCTCAGTTCTTTTCCACTAACATTATCTACCGAGCAAGTCATTCTTTCTTCTTCCAGTCTTCTGTCATGAAAGTCAATATAAATCACACCAGCTTTTTGAGCTTGCTTCTTAGATATTCCAATTATATTGTGGGATGATGTAATTGTTCTTTGTAATTTAATTCATACCCATAACAGAAAAAAATAATTGTTAATAAATTTGATAAATCTTGGAAGTCAATTTTTGTTCCTTGCTCCCGGAGCACTGTATATTTGTTATGGTTTCATATTACCAACTCATTATCTTTCCTATTCCTCAGTGGTTTTTTTATTTCCCTGAAGTTACTGGGTCTTCTTCAATAGAATATGAAATTGTTTCTTAGTTAGTAGTGT